GGTTCACGTAAGCTCTGTAGATGTGGCATGTGATCTGCAAATGGAACAGTTAATCTGGTATTTTTGTTATATTATTATTCACTTCCAGTCTCATCTGGAGGCATTTGTTAGAGTTTAAAGACCATATTTGTCTGCTTGAATAAATGTATATAATCCTTGGAAAATCCAGGAGTGAAAACAGATTCAGTTACTGAACACCAAAAACTCAAATCGAAGCCAAATTATTCTTTATTTTGATATACGTTAAATGTTATATATCACGTACAATCTATATTGGCATGTCACTTTCATTGCATACTGTATTTAATTGATTTGGATCTCAGGAAGAGTAGGTGCTGTCATGGAAACGGCCAAAGGGGATCCAAACAACAATAAAAGCTTCAAGTCAACAACATTTTACATCCAGAATCCTCTGCACACCCACTGTGAGGCAAACAAACAAAGTTGAACAAAATATCCAACAAAATCTCAAATCTCAAATGTCACCTGCAATTACTGAATGCTTCATTTGTCCTCGTTTTAAAGTGCCACTAACTTTTCCATGCGCTCACACGGATGCACTAAATCCCACACCAGCCTGCTGCACGCATGGCTGGAGCAAGATGCAACTTTGAGCGGATGGAGCGTGTGCTCTGAATAAAGTTGTGTGGGTGAGGGTAATGGGCTGTGAGCAGGTAATTGAGCGCGCCGGGCTCGTCACAATAAGGGTGCCAGCTCACTGGATGAAGGGGGGTAAATAGAGAATGACTGCGTAATAAAGTGAATAACACTCAAACAAACGCACGGAAGCGCACACACACATAAAATGACATGTGTACAAATGCAAAAGACAGGCAGGCTGTGGAAATAAAGCCTCTACCCGGGGTCATCGCCCACTCTGTGCCTCCCCATGGATTTAGTTGGGAATGATCAGTTTTCCACTTTCTCATAGCACCACCACCACAATATCTTTTGCTGGGAAATCATGCTTTAAGACATCCAAGAAAGCAATTATGTGCCAACCACTTAAACAGAAAAAAAAAGTTAAAGCTTCTTTCTTGCAAGATTTACCGCCAAGCAGTATGAAAAACAAAAGCAAAAACCGATTAAAATGTTGTCAGTCCATCTTCGTTAATTCATTCTCAGCATATTAACTTAACGCTTAGTATGGCCACCTTTCCAACGTAAAGTTTCAAGATATTCAGGAAAACACTTCTCAACACATAAATTGTTACCAATTAAAGCCTTGGAAATTAAAAAGGGGTGATTGTGAAGAGACTTCTGTGGAAAATCTGCATCTGAGTCACATCAAATCATCTAAGTCTCATAAACAATCTAATTCATTGTCACGTACTGAGCAAAGAAAGGAAAGAATATTCCTTGTTCCACTATAAATAACTGCTTCCTTCATTAAGCAACTTGTAGCAAAATAAAATGATAAATAATAATAATTCAAGAACTTCCAGCTTGAAATGTAATTACTGACCACAACAACAACTGACAGTTATCATATTTAGTAAACTGGAACTTAGCCAGTCAGACAATGTGAGGAAGGAAGCGTCAAACCGCTGGAGAAAGACAGCTGAACATAGTTGTGTCTTTCTCAGTGGGCGCAGTTAAGCGTTACCAGTTGTTTATTTCTTATGCACAAAGAAAAACATCTGCAAATGGCTTCCTAAATGAGCCCTGATACCTTCACTCACGCTGAATATGTTTCAACAAACCATGAAAAAGGTAATCTAGCTGACTGGCTCCAATGTAAAGAAAAAAACTACAAAGTATTCCATACTGTACTCACAACAACAGAGTGCTCATATCAATGTTGTTAGCAATGTGTGGAATGTACTACTGCATACGATAACTTATCTCTGATAACAAAGACGTAAAAGTAGACAGGGGTGTTGCCCTGAGTGAGGTGACTTTGATAATGAATACGGCTCTCTACTGTAGGTCTGGGAATCAGGCTAATGAGTTGCTGTTGGTAAAAACTGCCTAAAATTAGCCTGAAGGCAGTGTCTCTCTCCTAAATGTCTACAGGGAGGGGCTAACAAGGACAGGCGATAGCAGGGACTGGAACAGTTTCTGCTCAGAGCAAAGACTGATCCCCCGAAGTCACTGACTAATAGTATCTCTGACTAATGAACTGTTTCACCTTTTCTTTGCTAGGGTAGGTTACTTGAGTACATTCCCTGCCTTTCAACACCAGTTAGTTTCACCTGCCTGATTCACTTACAGATGCTCATACCTGGGATGTGGCCAAAACTATCAGTGTGCTTATGTCTGCCAACCAGTGTTGGATACAGTGTCTCGGCTTTAAATTGGTATAAGTGTTTATTATTCTCCATTTTAATCAACATCTGATTACAAGTTATATCCAGTATCCTGGTGCATAGAATAAAACCCAAAGTTCCCTCCAGAGGGAGTTTCTCTCCCACACTCAGACACAGGCAGTATGAGAAAAATAAAGACCTTTTGAACATTAAAGCATGGAGACATGTCATAGTAAATACAAATATGAACCCAAAACGAGCATAATAGGGCCTTCTTTACCATGTTGCATTTCATTTATTGTCACATTTCCAGATGTTGCTAGAGGTTACATAATGATGGATTTATTTGTTCTTATTCTCAGTGCTTAATAGGACCAATGCTGTGTGTTTGAAGGATTACAGTAGACTCAGTAAAATATGTTTTGGACATGTGGACAGGCCAAAAGATGTTGGCAAGCTAATGCTGGTTTGGACAAGATTTTTGGAGAATAGGAGACATGTCAAGGGAAAGCAATGATAGTGATTTATTACCCGAGAGGGGATATTCAACAATAACTTGAGGAATTGTTATCCGATGAGACCACTATATTAGCTTTGTTTTTGAAACAGTACATCCTGCAGAACCAAATTCTTTGACGTTTGGTTATCAAATGAATAAGCTGCACTCAAAACAAGGTGTACCTTTACCTGACTAAGACTGACAAATGCAATGTCTGTTTTCAGCAAATTGGTCAGGTTCCTGCACATTTCCTCCTACCTGATTTCTATACCTTTACTTACTTTTATATTTGGCAATCACTTCTAATTATGCTCTTTCACTTCTTCTGGCACGCAAATACACACATGCACAGTGTACACAGTACAATCTACATGGTATCAGTAGCAGTTATCATACTGTCCTACAGTGTTAACACTATGTTTGCAGTGAATTAAAAGCGTAATCAACTGGAAAGTATGCAAATATACAGAAGCAGAAGCCGCCTGTGCCCGCTGAAGTGTATTTGCAAAGGTAGTTGGCATGTGTTTGTGCAACTGTCAGGATACAGTAATGAGTGAGTGTGTGTGGTTCATGTTCCTAATAAACGATACCGTAATAAAGTAACAAGGATGGAGAATTTTCAGTGCGTCAGTGCTGAAATGTCAGCAATCTGTTTGCCCGGGATAATTGAACAACAGCAGACCTTTTCATGTGTCCAGACAGCCAGCAAACATTTTTTGAGACGTTGACGTTAAACAAACCTAACTGATTTATCTGTAGATGTCTCAGCAGGACAACAGACCCAGCGATGAATGGGCAGATGCCCCTGGTCTTTTTTTTATCCATGGCTGATGCAAGAGACCCTAATGTGTCTTTAATTTAGAACATTTGATCACATTACAAAATATCATTTAAGCCTATAGTGGCAGTCCTAGTCTTAATTCTTAGAAAAATGTGACTTCTTTGAAATTCTGAGAAAAATTTGACTTTTTCTGTGTGTATGATGATCTGTGATTCAGTTTTGCCTCTTGTGTGATTGTGCAGCCTGTCTTATTTCTAGATTTCATGGTGGAGGGGAGGTCTCTTGGCGACACTTGGAAACAGCTTGAGGACCTGGATATTTTCAATTGTTTAAACTGTATTTTTATTATGTTGGTTTTCTGTACACTATTGCCTCTTGACCATCCTGAAAGAAGGATTCCTCCTTCCTCCTTTCTTAATCCCAAACAAGGTGCAAAGGACAGAGGATGTGTATGCTGAACAGCCCCTTAAAACCAATTTGGGATTCTTGATATTGGGCCATATCATTTAAATGTACTTGGCCGTCTATTATCATCATCACTGCCTTTTTTCACCATTTGTATCCCAACTACTGTATGTTTACCCATCTATATTCTCAGATGAACACACCTCTCATAAAACAAGTGATAAGACTTGAAGTTCAACTAAAGTTCAGAGGTTGACAAAGTTCTTATGTAAAAGTCAACACAATGTAAAAGTCAACACAATGTTGTTCCACAGTGTAGAAATATTCATAAAAGTGAAAGCCCTGCATTAAGAAGTGTACTATTCTAAAAGTATAATGCACAACAGCCCATTTAAAATTAAATTAAATTATACTTATTGATGCAACGTTTTTTGTTTTTTTACTATATAAGCTGTAGGGCAGGTTGTGAATTTCAAAAACTGATTAATAAAGTTCGATCTTAAGCTTTTACTTAACTGATTATAGTTTGCATTATTACGTATAGGCTAGCTTTTAGGGAAATGTGTATCAATTTGGATAACATTTCTAGAATATTGTCCATATCACCGTTTGTTTACAACACCTGGCACCTTTACATTTCTTATTTTGTAATATAAAGAAACTCGTACAACAATTATATTAAAATATGTTTTTTTTTTCTTACAGATTGTTGGTTTGCTTGTTAGTAAAGTAAGACGTGTTTGTTTGCATTTAAATAATGTACATGTTGAGATAAATGCCTTGCAATTATGTAGCAGAATTATGATGTTGATGATTTCACGTGTTTTTGCAGTAAAGTAAACTCAATAAATAGTACATATACTTGTTTGACGACTACACAGTGATCAAATAAATAGAGTTTGTTCGAATGGTCTCTAAACATCACTTAATACAATTGGACAGTAGTGGTTTGTTCGGTGTAACAATGTACAAATAGAAATCTAATTTACATCTACCTTTCTTTCTTCTGTTTGGAAAAACAACAATAAACTTGTTTTTTTTTAAATAAGTAAAGTAACCTGCTCACCTGTGTCGGGCTCCTCGCCTCCGTCACTCCGACAGACCCCTTAGCGCGTGCTGGTGGCTCTTATTCCAACAGGAGAGAGGAAAAGAAAAAAAACTGCCGCGTACCCAAGAGTCCGATCTGCACGAGCGGCAGATGAGTGACACTGGGCGACAGTCCGCCTCGTGCCAGAGAGAGAGAGAGAGAGAGAGAGAGAGAGAGAGAGAGAGAGAGAGAGAGAGAGAGAGAGAGAGAGAGAGAGAGAGAATTGGGGGTCGATGACGCCACCGTGTGGCATTATTATGAAGTGACACGAAATATATGTTGGCTGTCGTATATTTAGAAAAATACATATTTAAAACATTTGCGAACATTATATTATAATAATAATAATAATAATAATAATAATAATAATAATAATAATAATAATAATAATAATAATAATAATAAAAATACAATCTAAAATAAAACATGAACAAATTAAAAACAAATTAGAAGTGCAAACAATTTTAAATAGTACAAATAAGCTGTATAATAAACAAATATAAAAGGTCTATAAAATAATACACTTTAATTTTGCAAGAAAATTACAAGAATTAAACATCACAGTCCTGCGTGGTGAACATTTATTTTTATAAATTGTTGTGCTTAATGTTGCTCAATTTGCATTTAACAATAACAGATTTACAATGCCATATTTACCACGTCTGTGACACTACATGTCTCTTTTTTCCTCACATGTTTTTTCTTCCATAGCAACCATTACCCTTACTCCCAACATGCGTGTGATGTTCTCTGTGAGGTCCAGCATCTGTCTGATCACTAATAGGAAAGACTGACTAAAGGGAGAGAATGGCTCCCTGTAGTCAGAGGTAAAAAGAGTTATGGCTTGATCCATCATCTCAGGACATAGAAACATTGAAATTGTCTTTGTTCACGTTATGTTTGTCTTGAACTGTAATGCTGTACTGCTATATTGCATATATTTATGTATTTCATTATGCTTTATTTATTTATTCCTTTATGCACTGGACAGAAAGCCCATTCAATTGGTTGTATTGCAAATGCTGATTAACAAAAGGTGTGCACCATGCACATGTCCACACACAGAGACATGTAGTAGCCTAACTAATGTGAATTGTTTGTTGGTATACATTGAGGCTAAATATATGATTTGTTACTATGATCATTCAGATGATGGCGCTCGATTGAATAACAATCTCAATCTTATAATGGCACTTTTGTCTATTCACAGCATTTTCTCTAATTGACTAGAAGTTGAATTCTCTTTAATCACTTATTGAACAATAAAAAAGTATTAGGCTTTTGGAAAAGGAGACTATGGTAATTTCCCCCCTTGAAACCTCTGCTTTAATATGTTTGTATTTGTATATATGTATACCTTTTTCTCTTTTTAAATCTTGTAGATATCTCATTTTATTATTTTCATATCTGTATCGCCAATATGTTCTGTGGATGCTGCTTTTGTACCTGAACTGTTTTATATAGTATCATTTTGTAAATTACTCTTCCTGTGCTGGCCCTTTAAGATTAGCCTTCCCAAAACCCATCGGGGACAGTAATAGAAACATACAATAGAAGCAGAAGTAATGCTGCAACAGTGTAGGCTTAATATGACAAAGTACCAACTGAGTCAGACACATACAGTAGCGCATCACTAAATTACGGACATCACCTGAACGCGTCACACGTTAGGTTACGATTACCTGAGGAAAACAATGAGAAAGCAGATATTTGACACTCAGGTAGACTCGCGCGGATTAGAATGATTAACAGGCGATGACAGCGGCATTAACTCTGAATTTACACCGAACTTTAGTAAAGGGAACTGTCGTGTAAGCAACGACTCGTTAACAGCCTCATTGAATCCAGCAGTTCTTTTTTTTATTGTAGCGAAAGTGCGTTACCGTGAATGTCTAAACTACCAGGAAATGCCGGCGTTTCGGTGCTCGGGGACAAGTCGCTGGAGTTCTACCGGGACCCGGTGCGCTTCTGCCGTCAGAGAGTCGAGAAACACCGGAGCAGAGTGTTCCAGTGCCGCATACTGAACAGACCGACTGCCTTCATCTGCTCGGTGCAGGGCATGAGCGAGCTGCTGTGTGGTATGTGGTGTGTCGGTGTGTTTATAAGTGTGTACGCCACAGGTGAGCATCTGCATCCTCAGAGGACCGCTCAAAGTGCGTGTTTGGTGGCCAACAGCAAATAAGACTGTACAAATAACATTTTAAGTGAAGGGCATTATGGGTAATTTAATTGCAGATGATTTAATATGTATTATTTAATTCCACTCATGGCAACTATTGTAAAACAAAACATGTACACTTTAAGCAATTTGATGGAAAGGTGCAGGGAGAAGAACATCTTATTTATCTGCCCCTCATTAAAAAATAAATAAATAAAAATGGTCTGTCAGTCACAGCTGCTAACATACTGTATAGGCCTACACATATAGCTTTTTGGTTTAAGTATATGTTAACACACAGACATATTACAGTGTAATTAGTGTATCTATAGTTTCTAGTGAGCTCATATTGTCTCCTCGTCTCACTAGCCTCAGGGTAGTGAGTCAGATTTAGGTCTCAGGCCAAGTAAAAAAAAAACAGAAGTACCAGGAAAATCCCCCTATATATGGAGTAAAAATCACCCTGAGATTAGTCTGATCTGTCATGGGAAAGACTCGTGATGTTCCTGGAGAGAAAAAGGGGGGTTGTTACTGATGTAAAGCTCTATTAAAGTGTGCTACCCTTCAAAATAATGTATTAATTGTACAACAATATATAATAATTATGATATTAATTAATTTCCTATTTGTAATAACATTTTAAAATTAAGATATAAAAGCAAAACTAGAAAATCATCTACTGTAGGAATATAAGGGGGAAATAGGGGGTTAAATGAGATGAGGTAATGCATTTGTTGAAATAACATAGCTTTCCCAAACAAAATCCTTGTGCCAGAGGTATAATACAAAGGAGTTATACATTTAAAAGGTTTAACATTCAGTAAAACATATTGCATGACATTTAAATGTAAGAAAAAGTAAGATTGCACTTAAGATTTCAGTTGAGTTGTTATAAACTCGTTCTACCAGGATTTACCTTAAACACAGCCTTGAAAAAACGACTTTGCTTATCATTTATTATTATATTCCTTGTGTAAACATATGCTGAAATCATATACCACAAGTATTTCCAACCATGACTTTATTTTTGATGTCATGTGTTGTTTAACCCTCCTGTGTTTTCGATAAAAGGATGTATTTGCATTATTAAATTCTGGTATTTTGTTACGTTAGAACTGGATATCTGTTACACTTCCACCTCTCTTTTTTTACATGCGCACCATCTGCAGTAAACAAACTCTGACATGGGCATTGTGTGTTTGATACACTGAAATGATGTGTGTGTTTACATTTTTTTTACCTTGTGCGTTTCAGAGAAATCCAACTTGTTTCTCAAGGATCCAACTGACTTGATGACCAACATGTATGGTGACACCGTTATCACCACAAATGGTAAACACATACACATGCAAAAACACAAATAGCTCAAACCAGAGCTTTCAACATAGCAGAAATGTGTTTTATACTAGAGCAAGTTTGAGTGATGTTACACACACAAAATACATAGGTTACTGTATGACTAACATACGAAAAAATATTCTAAAGCAAACAGTACTTCCCAAGATGCATCCACTGATGATTCTAGCCTAAAAGACGAAATGCCATGTCAAAATCCACAAAAAATAAGTGCTTAAATGTAGATCTTCAAAAATAAACCATTTGCATTTGTCTGTTTTAGGTGAGGAGGCATGTCTTCTCCGTCTGTCTCTCTCCAGCCTGTTCACAGGAAGTTGTTTGAAATCATCAAATGATTATATCACCAGGTATTGTCACTCATTTTATTAAAAAAGTAACAACATTATTTTGTATTATATGTTGTTGATGTGAATTACTTTGTGTTTATGTATTTTTGACATGGTCTGCAACACTAATTTTAGGGAGAACTGACCAAATGTTAGATCTATGTGTCAGGGAATAATTTATAAGGCCCATAACTTTGACCCAGTTTATCAGTTTAAACTGTCCTGACTGAGTTACACCTGAAACCTTTGCTGCTGTGCTCTCAGTGTTTTGTGTCCCTGTTCCTGCCAGTTGGCGTCAGCTGATAGAGGTGTTATGGTCCTATCTTGTTATGCACAATGTTGATTATTCTCTCAGAACTAGCTACATACATGGGTCTGGGGTAGAGTTCATCAGAATTGATTGTGGCATCTCTACCGTGTGGTCAAACCATGGCCCGTGACATGTCTTGTGAATTCTCCGGCCGAAGCTCCAAATAAACCATCAGTGTTTGCCATCAAAGCTCCAGCTCTCCTCGTGTCTCGTGTGTGGAGCAACAAATCCCTAAAATAATTATACTGTGTAAAATATAATGATTGAAATGCTGGTTTATCAAATGTTGCTTATTTATTGTCATAATGTACAGGATGTTTCAAAGTGCACTGACAGTACATATTTTTGAAAAAGACTCTCTTGGAACTACTTCAACGTGTGTGTGTGTGTGTGTGTGTGTGTGTGTGTGTGTGTGTGTGTGTGTGTGTGTGTGTGTGTGTGTGTGTGTGTGTGTGTGTGTGTGTGTGTGTGTGTGTGTGTGTGGTGTGTGTGTGTGTGTGTGTGTGTGTGTGTGTGTGTGTGTGTGTGTGTGTGTGTGTGTGTGTGTGTGTGTGTGTGTGTGTGTGTGTGTGTGTGTGTGTGTGTGTGTGTGTGTGTGTGTGTGTGTGTGTGTGTGTGTGTGTGTGTGTGTGTGTGTGTGTGTGTGTGTGTGTGTGTGTGTGTTCCAACTCTTCAGTGTGTGTGAGCGCTGTCTGAAGGACCTCTCTATCAGGTAACACAAACCTCCACCACTCTAAAAAGCATTCACATTCATTCTTTAGGCACGTATAAAGCAGGACTGCAAATGGTTTAACAAACTAAATATAAAATGTAGCTGTAAAAAAAAAAGACATTTGTAAAAACAGCAGGGGCAGAAAGGTGGCGAGGACATGTTAAACTGTGTGTGTGTACACGCTGAGTAAAAAATACAACTTCATGATGTGTGGTTTATATTTGTATTTGTTCATTATATTCGATGTCTGATCTGTGTGTGTGTGTGTGTGTGTGTAGTGGGAAGCCACAGTGTGTGTACTCTGCCTTTAAGCGTCTGGGGACAGAGTTGGTGTTGGGCCTTTTTCTGAATGTTCGAGCGGAGGAGCAGCCTGAACTCTTCCAGGAAATCAGTCAGCTCTGCACCCTGCACTGGCATGGTAGGGACACACTCATATGCTGTGTAGAGATAGATAGATCCATAGATCCATAGATACATAGATAGATAGGTTCTTTATTGATCCCAATTTGGGACATTTTTGCGTTGCAGCAGCATAAAAAACACAAGGCAATGTACATAAGAGAAGTTAAGGCACAATAAATAAACAGTCAAAAATATTTCAGAAATAGAAATAAAATAGCATAACAAATGTAAATACAAATATCAAATACAAAATAAAAGATGAAAAATATATATACATGTGGAAAATATACAAGTACACAAAAACAAAACTAATACCCTTTTATTGTGTACAAATAAGCAGCTAGGTCAGGATGCATAACTACCCTGACTAAGTGCTCCCTATGATAGAAAGTAAACTGTTGCACAATATCCAGTAAGACAAAAGTAAGTTGGCGTTGTTGTTCTGCAATACATTGTTGCACAATCTTCAACTTCCCCTCTTTTATTTCAGAACATCCAATTACGACAATTTTTTGTATGTTTTTTTCCTATCTTTATAACTTTGCTGAACTCCTCCCCTGCCCCCCAGGTCTGATCTCGGCCCCCGTCAGCCTGAAGGTTCCTCTGTGGTCGTCTGGTTACTCCACAGCTCTGGACGCCAGAGACAAACTGATGGACATCATCAAAGACAAACTGGAGAATGACAAACAGGGGTGAGACTGCAAACTGTTGCACTATATTTAACTGTCTTAAACACTCAGTTCCTTTTTTAAGGTTTTTGATCTTCCTCTGCTTAGTCTGCCCTCATCATACTTTTAAACTGAAACTAACTTTTCTTAGTTTTTACGGGTACATGGAAACATGACTAATATCAGATATTTTGATACTACTTAAAGGTCACCTATTATGCAAAATCCACTTTTCATGTCTTTTCTACATAAACATGTGTCCCCTCTGTGTAAAGAGAAGGTAACCCCCCCCCCCCCACCTGATCACCTGAATCTCCTCCTAGAGCACCATTGTGTTCTTTTTAACCAAATATCTCTCAGAGGGGCGTGGGGAGTGGCTCTTTATTTTCATCTAAAGTAAAAGACAGAGAATCAGCACTTTTGAAACAGGGCTGAAACAGAGGGGTTTATGGGATGCTGCAATGATCTATTTGGTATTTGTAGCCAAACACTTCAAAGACATGTTTTGTATATATCGGAGAACTATAATATATTGATGAAAAACAGTATGATAGGGGACCTTTAAATCTTATTGGTAAAATCTGATGTTTTGATGCTTACTGCTCAACTTAGTGGCATTTATGCATAACTATACCCCCTCTCTGCCATAAATCAGAGGCCTTTCATCTCCTTTATTTGTGGATTGCATATAATTACTGTGATATTAATTGGTAGTGATTTGTAGATATGGCATTTTGATCTCAATAATGTTCCCTCCTCTCTGCTACTTCGGCTCCTTCTAGGTTTGTCGGCTCCCTTGGTTCTTTGCCGCTGCCAGACTCCAGTTCTGCCTCCCAGCATCTCCTGCTGTTCATCTCAGCTCTGATCCCTAAAGCTCTGGCCTCGCTGCTCACCTCCTTCACACTGGCTCTCAGTGGAGACCAGCAGGTAAACAAACAACGACTAAACTGTGCTTGCTGATAGGAAAAAACGACAACAAATTATTTATTTTTCACCTGAGCAAAAATGTGGCCTATGGAATAACTATAAATCCGTTCCATACATTAAGTAGCCCTTTGTCTTTCAGCTTTTGAATAACATGAACATTTATCTCCTTGTCCACGAGCAGACCCGCCGCCGTCTATTAGAAGACCCTGATTACCTGCGCTTAGTGCTGCTGGAGGTTCAGAGACTTTGGCCTCCTTTTATTGGTGGACGAAGAATAGCTGATAAGGTAGGACTGTTCACCTGGTGGCACAGTGTTTATTTGTATGTGTTGTTGAAAAAGTATTGATTACTTCTTATCCTTTGTTAAAGGGCCCATGTCATGCTTTTCTGGTTATTACCCATCCCCTTGTGTGTTATGAAGGTTTTTATGCATGTAAACGGTCTGCAAAGTCACAAACCCTCAAAGTACACCCTGTAGCGAGTAAACTCTAACGGCCCGTCCACACAGCGGCGTGCGTTGAAGCTTGCCGGCGGGCGTGTCTGAAACTCAACCAACAACCAATCACATGAATCTCCCGCCCCTGACACACAAGCAGCGGTTTGATTGGCTAGAGCTTGTACTGGCATATGCAGTGGCGTTTTTATATGTACAAAAGTGGTGGGGCACAAAAAACTTAGATGTCTATATATAAGTTTCTGCAGTGACGTGCAGTGAGGTTCATGGCTGGTGAGGCACTGGCACTGACTCTTCAGGTTTACAAATATTATATTTTGACCTAAACCAAAATATAATATTATTTTCAAAAGCTTTTTTTGTCTGATGCTTCGATTCATTTTAAACAGACAGTTCAACAAAAGGATACCCAAAAAATGTAATTTTATCATTTAAATATTGAATTGTTCTCTCTTAGTAAGATCCCATTTTCAATAAAATGGCGGTCTTACCTTGACTTGAAGATGAAGTCCATTTGCCTATCCTTCTGGACAAACATTTCTATTACTTTTTTGTAAAAGTCCTCCTTATGTTCTTGTAGTTTCAAAAGTCTATCATAAATCTAATCCATAGATTTATGATAAAAAAATTATAAAAGTAGGGTAGACATGTGGATGTTATCCGGCTAATCAAAACGTGCATTTATCTAACAGGTACGTTTCCCACAGATCTTATTTCGAGCTATTTTCTAAAATCCTCTGGAGAAATCTCATTGCTTTTTTGTGCTTACTTCCTGGTTTTAGGACGCGCCACTGCAGCTCTCTCGTCTCCTCTTCAAGCACCACACTTTTCGCGGCACACGTACTTACAGCCAATCAGCTCTGAATGATTTGAGATGACGTATGGTGGGGATGGTAGCTCCGTGCCCCTCTGGTCATTATTTTTTTGCCACACACATTACATTACAAAATACTCTGAGCATGCGCAGTGTAGTTTTTACAGTCACCGTTCACTTCACAGCGAGAGGGAAGGGCATAATCAGGTTTTGTCCCACATGGCTCTAAACAGCTCAATAGGCACACACTGTGACTGTAGACACACTAATTAGAAGAACACAGACTAAAACAGCAATGTACAGACGAATCAGATGATTAAACATGATCTTAAAATATATTTTATATATTTTTTTTTTTTTTTTTTTGCATTTTTGTAATCATTATTTGTAATACTTTCTGCTGACACTAGGTGGGGCTGTGCCCCACCTGCCCCTAATGACCAGTCGCCACTGGGCATATGATTCGATTGGCTGACGCTTCTGCAGAGGCTTCAAAAGTTGAACATTGCTCAACTTTTGCAGCGAGCCACGCCAGCAAAGCTCCACTTCGCTTCCCACAATGCAGTTCGGCGAAAAGTGACGTCACCCCATTCAAAGTGAATGGTGAAGCTTTCAACACACGCCGCTGTGTGGACGGGCCGTAACACAGAAAAGACCTGTCTATGCTGCCCCAGAGCGCCTCGTTGGAGATTTCTCTTTTTCTTCCTGGTTACAGTGACGTGCCCATACCCAAATGGACCCATTGGTCCAAATGAACCAATCCGTGGAGCTCCTCACACACACACACACACACTCTCTCAGCGGCAAAACTGTGACGCGCTGGGGGGGGGGGGGGTGCTAGTGGAGCCTTGCAGATGGGGGTGCTGCAGCCCCCCCCCTTCCCGCGTCCATTCGCGATGTCTCGCTGTCTCGCAGATCCCACGCAGCAAGCAGGAAATTAACCCAGCTCACACTGTCCGCTCCTCGCAGCAGCGAGCCGCGCAACGTCCCGCCAACACGGCACCCAGACCCCACGCAGCATTCTCATCTGTTTGTCCTTACTGGTGTCATTTTCTGGTTGCTAACGCCATTGTAACACATAATCACTGATGTTCCGCTGTAACGGTGGTGATCTCATCAGAACAGAGTGGGCGAGCTGACCAATCAGAGCACAGTGGGCTCACAGGGAGGGGGGGGGGCAGGAGCTCCAACAAGCCGTTTAGGACAGAGAGTGAATACACATACTATACAGAGATGCTGTATGAGAAACCCATGTGAGTTTGGAAAATTGCACAATATAAATCTATTCTAGTATACCTCAACAATGAAATTATGATCAGTAGAAATGGCCATGACATGGGACCTATACGTTTGAGAGATCCAGTATTACTTATAGGACCTTCTCTTCTATAAAGCCATTTTACAATCAGATTTGGTCTTTACAAATAATTGTCTGCACTGCACCCAATGTTGAAGCGTTAAGAATTTAGGTTTTGCAATGTTTTAATGGCCATTATTGTTGGAAAATGTACTGCTACTTAAGTCTTTTAAGGGTGTTGAATGAAATTAATGACACAACTAAGAAGTTTAACATTAAATCATCACAGGGTAACTTAATTTCTTCCTGGGCAGAACCTGTTCTTAAACTCACTTTAGTGTTAAAAGTCCTCCTTCTGTACACATTATGAGAGTCTTATTTGTTCCTTTTTATGGATTTATTTTCCCCTTATGTTTAGCGGTTTCTGCCTCACTCTCCTCTCCACTAGATGGCGACATCACATGTTACTGTGTAGATAAAATGATCTACTGTCAATGTCTTCTTACTTGTGTGTTCGGAAAACACTACCAATTGTGAAACAAAAACACCTTATAGTAAATATTACAAGTCCTGCACTAAATAATGCCAGATGGTCAATCTTACTGATTTTTTCAGATTTATTTGAGACTTTTCCTTTTGGAAAGTTTTTCTGCAGGTGTGACAGAAAGTGCAGTAGAACAAGATAGGTAAACAAGTGCCATTACATTTATTAAAACTAACATGCATGTCCGTTCTCACAGAGGTCTGACTCACACTATTTAAGCAGCATATGTGTTTTAATGGCCACATGATACGTGAAATGTCATTAGACATGCAACTGGCATTTATTTGGACTAGTATTTACTGCATGCCTGTTTTATAACATGTACATGCCTTGTTTATTCTAAAAAGCTCCATGCAGCCATCATATCCATTTGTTTACTGACTTATTATCTATTTAAGTTTTTTATATTCTCGTTTATGACCTGTTATGTCGTGTACATCTGCGTGCTATACACATAAGCAGCTGATATTCCGTAGGCCTACTGTATATTTGTTCCACCATTGATTTTTATTAATTAAAGTGATTGCTTTCTGGTTTGACATCAACACTGTGAGCCAATAGAATCCCAAATGTAGCCAAAGTGCCGTCTCATTATTGGACTGCTGCTAAACCTCGCACCGGCTCTGTTTTGATCACTATGACTTCATCAAACAGACTTGCATAACAGCCCAATCAGAGCAATCGATCCGTCTCTGCGATTGATTGGCTCTGCTTCCCCGGAAGGAAGGAAGGGTGTGGGGTGGCCGGAGCTTGGCGGTGGGATTGATGTGCGCTGCTGGTGACTCTGTGAAGCCGAGTGGAAAGTCATTTGTCAGTTCTGGCAAACGCACCAGTACACTCTGGTTCCTGAGAGACTCATTGGGATACTGGTTCCTGACTAGTGGGTGTTAGAGAAGAAAGAAGTAGGAATCCACAAGGGTCAGGATATAGAAGAATATACAAAAACGCAACATGGATTAGTTATTATCAAGGGGGGAAAGAGTTCAACAATATCTATGCTGGATCAAGTAGACAATATAAAAATAGTAGATGTACAAAAGTAGCTCTTTTTAAGACTACTTACAGTTGCAATTGATGACAAAGAGCCAATATTGCCTACATAATGTAACCAAATCCAGATGAATCAAATCCTTTTTCTTTATCTTTTTTTATAGAATGTTTTTATGTTCAGCATTTATTGATGCAGGGGGACCTTATCATTTATTATGATTACCTTATTTAGGATTGTTTTTCACTTAAAGGTGGGGTAGGTAAGTTTGAGAAACCGGCTCGAGATACACTTTTTGTTATATTCCATGGAATGCTCTTAACATCCCGATAGCAATGAATATCTTAAGTGCTTTGACAAAAAATCCATAAAAAAACGTCATCTGTGGAAGCCGTAGTACTGTAAAAAGCACGACCAATCATTTTAGCCGGCCCAGCTAAAATAACTGGATGGCCTACCTGCCTGTCAGCCTTCCATCTGTGCACAAACTTATCTCGTGCCCTCATTGGTCATGTGCGCGTTCGTGTGTGTTGGAGGAGGGGCTCTGTAAGGAAGTGGCAGATTTTTTCCGGCTGTGTATTTTCAAATTCTAGCACACTCGAGCTGGTTTCTCCAAAATTACCTACCCCACCTTTAAAAGGATATAACAAAGTCCTTTTTTGATCTAAGACAAATGTTTCTCAAAGAGGACATATTATGCTAAATTGCAGGTTCATTTTTGTATTTTGTGCCACTACTGTAACATGTCTCCATGCTTTAATGTTCAAAAAGCTCTTTATTTTTCTCATACTGCCTGTGCTGCAGCACCTCTTTTCACTCTCTGTCTGAAACCAGAACTCAGTCTGCTCTGATTGGTTAACTAGCCGACTCATTTGTGATTGGTCAACCCAGACCCGGCGCCAGCACAAATCTACAGAGAGGGCATATGATTTTCATGGGAGGGCACACAAAACCGTCATGTGCCGCGGCCAGTGGCGGCGCCAGAGATGTTCTTTTGGGGGTGCTGTGGGGTAGCTTGACGTGCTCAAACATGTAGGGTTTCCCATTAATGTACCGGGCGCTACAGCTGAATTTTCTACTGCAACACTCCCCACACGCACATACACAGTACACCCACGACTTCTACAATGAAGGCTCGATAATCAGCTCACGGCATATAGGTGTAAGCAGGGGTAAAGTGCTGTTTCTTTTTAGTGGGGGGTGGACCTAACATCCTCTAGGGGGGTCCGGACGCATGCTCCCCCGGGAAGATTTTTTTTTAAATATTGAAGTTAAAAGCATCAATCTGGTGCACTTTGAGAGCAACATTAAGAGATCTATGGATACATCTCTCAACACGATATGAAACAGAACTGTAAACAGATTTCTTTATGGATATTTTACTAATCACCCTTTTAAACTGTATTCTTGTTTTACTGTCATATAGTATTTCATAGCTGATTTTCATGTATTACTCTTATATTAATATCTGACATCACATACATCGTAGCACTAAAGTTCACAGTTTATTTATAATAAAAAAAAATATATATATATTTCTTTAATTTTTATTAAAAAAGAAAAATGTGTTTATTGGAGGAGGGCAGGAATGTCAAATGGGAGGGCCTGGTCCTGGCCCTCCCACGGCGCCGGGTCTGGGTCAACCCCTTAAAGATTTCCCACCCCTTAGCCAATCACGTTCAACGTGTTGGAGCGCTAGCCAATACAAGTGTGACTTCAGCAATTTCAGTAGCCCTTGTTTAATTGACATTTTAAGAGTTTTAAGCATGTTTTGATGATTATATCCTGGGGCAAAATCATTTTTGCCAGATAAGAATGACATGCTTCCTTACTACACAGTTATGTTTTAACATTAAATTATTAACAAGGATCACAACCAGAAAGAGTTGCCCTCACCTCTGACAATACCTTTTTTATAACCTCAAACACCAGTGTTACAAAGAAAAGCAAGTGTGAACTGGAGGGTAAACAGTTTATGAGATGTTAGTGTGTGCAGGGAGGCGTCTAGGAAAGGCAGAGATTATTAGTATTCACGATCAGGTGGAAAAAGTAGAAGCTTCATCCAGGTGGAACTAAAATATGCAATAGTGTGTTTACTGTGCGTGTGTGTGTGTCTTAGAACAAGAGGGGGAGAGAAATGAACTCAGCAATGGCAGAGGCATCTCTCAGTGAGAAGCAGTACAAAAATAAAAAGATTGTTAAAAAGATTCTCCACTCCAGAAGAGAGAAGCGGAGAGGAAACACAAAACAGTGATCCTGCTCTGTGGCAGTCCATTAGTGCAGCTACTAATGGATATAGTGCAAAGGTGAATTAAAAGGGCAACACATGGGTAAGTGGTCTTTTTGCCCCAAGGTGAATCCTTTCAATAAAAAGCTGAAAATCCACTAGGGGAAATTTTATTAAAAGTGGAACACATTTTTGATTTGAGCAGCACATCAGTTTTGAAGATAACTCCCATAATGTTTTGGTAAAAAGGTTTTTTAATAGCATATTAAAGCATATAAGTTGCGTTATTGCAGGTAACATTGTGTTTACATTTTCTAAAATGTCATGACAGACACATCTGCTTTAAAGTCTTTGAAATACAAGCGCTTTGATAATAAAAGGTACAATAAAAAATGCTAAGCACATTAGCAGTACGTTTATCCAATCAGGTTCAGTAATGGTCATTTAGGAGAACATCTTACTTTCCAACTCTCAGTGAATGATCAGTTTTCAGAATAGGATATAAAAATGTGATTTCTCCTTCTGTGTGTGTTTAGGACTCCACGCTCGCAGGGTTTCATGTCCCAAAGGATTACGGGGCGATCTATATCAGCCACTCCGTCCACCGGGACCCGGAGGTGTTCCAGCAGCCGGACGACTTCCTGCCGGAGAGATGGAGCGGGAGGTAACGAGCTGAGATTTGTTGTTTAGTGTTTCCGTTTATTAAGCTTAGTCCTCATGTCGGATATTGGATTGTGGTGCGTACTCCTTACAGTAAAGAGATACAAAGTTAATACATTCAAGATAAAAGAAAAGGAAACACAACACAAGTAGTAATTGGAATTCAAAATAAAAATTAATGAGGTTTAGTGTTTTTACATGTATGTGTACTGTATATTATACCATTTATACACCAATCGATGTTGATGAACCCATCAAAACAAGAACAATATAATCCTCTCTCTCTGTGGGTATTGTGATGGCACTCAATACAAATCTATGCAGCTACAGTCTATATAAAATTGATCAATATACAATACACCGTGCTGAGTTATATATTTGACCATGATCTTGCCCATTTCATGTGTCCTGATCAGATTGCAGTTTGGCAACAGTTTGTGTTTTTTCTAGATACATGAAATGACATCTATTAATTTAGTCATAATAATATTTCCATTCAAAGCAGACTCATAGTATATTCAGTCTAAGTGTCTAGACTGCAGCTTGCTTCATGATTCTGTATTGTAAAATCACCCCACATATACGCACGCCCACATTGTTGCCATGGCAATCGATGCAGATAAATTAACACAAATATGACGGGATCACTCTCACATATACTGTAGTGCACGGTGAGATAGCTATAACGATTGGATTTGAGGAAAACAATACTAAGGACACACATGTAAACAGTTTTTGTTTTTTCATCTCTCACTTGTTCTGCTACCTGCTCTGGTAAAAATGGAACCTGATATTTACCAGTTCACTCTCTCATTGAACCGATTTTCTATTCATCCACTCCATCCATTCACCTGTTTATTCTCATTCATGCCTGTTCATTCAGGCGACAGAGCAGCAGGGTGGGGGGAATCTATGAATGTATGTATGTAGGTAGCTGCTGCCATGGAAACTAGTCACCTGACACCTTCTTTACCAATAGGGATTCCCCCAGATGTGTGTGTGTGTGTGTGCAGGGTGGGGGAGAACGATATCCTGTGGAGTCGGATGGTATACAGAAAAATGAGTCAGAGATGAGCCTATCCTGCTGGGTGATTCCTCTAAAATAAAAATGTCCTCTTTTAGTCTGGGGCTTCCCTGTTAAATATAACCACTAAAATAATTGTAGTGGCATTGACAAGTAAAAAGAAGCCCCCCCCCCCACACACTTTTAACTGCATCAGTTTAGGCATTTTTTTCCCCATTATCGTAAAGCAGTGTCTGATGATCGTCCTCTACTGCTTGGTGAACATTTGTCAAGGTCAAACAATGATTCAGTTTATAGAAAAACGATTTATTTTACAATTAAATGTGTTCTTCAGCCAAACCTAAATCACTAGGTCACAAGGTGGATATATCAAGGTTATAGTATATTTCCTTTTTTATTATTATTCATCCATTCAAGATATTCTTTATAGCCTCAAAATTCTTTCACTAAAAGAAAACAAAATATTGATGAATACATTAGAATAATAATATTTGAAAAATATATTCATTATTATATTTGGAAATGCATTACATTTTAAATATATTGATAAAGGAATATAGTTGTGCTGATCTGCTTATGCATGACACAATTAATGGTAATGGTAACATTTAAAATTGACTGAAGTCTATGTTAATGACATAAATCTATGAATGGATATACGGGTAGCTGCTGCCATGGTAACTATCTACCTCATACTGGTTTTTACCAATGGGGATTCCCTTTGCGCTTTGTGTTGGTGAGGGGCGTGTGAGTGTGTGTACATCCTGCCCTTTCCCTTGGGATGGGGTTTAGAAATGAGTCATAGGAGACATTATGATGTAAACTCTAGCAAGGATGTAGAAAAATATAACAAAAATAATAACAAATGTAACATTGGCATGCCCTAAAATTGTGTTCATAGCTCAAAACATGATACTTCAGGATAAGTCTTGTGTTGTATCATTTAAAGTAATAAAATCCCAATAAAAACAGTAGCATATCTTTCTGTGTAGATCTACATTGTGGTCAAAAGATATTAAATTGAGCCACACTAATGATCCTTCATTACAATTAATAACTGTTAAATTTGCTTTAATCCCAGATGCTGCTGCCGTTAAAACTCATCAATAATTTACTTGCAAAATATTTAATTAATCATGAACTTTAAAACAAATTATCGTTTATATTTTCACCTTATTACCTGCTATATTTGATACTTTTGGGTATATTAATTTCATTTCAACTTGTCAGGCTGTTTGAATTTGATTATAATTATTATTTTTCTTTACATTTATAATAAGGATGATGATTTTGATAACAACACAAAATTGATAAACTCAATACTTACTACCCCAAAAATGCCCTCTTTGGTCCGTTTGAGTATTTCTTTACTAAAAATGAAATTGTTCATCCTATTCTTTTATGAAATCCAACTATATGTGTGAGCTGTTTGACTCTGGGATGGGAGATAAAATAATTGTATGTGCAGGAGTTTGGATTTATATATTGTTCTAGTATGTGTTCTAGTATGTGTTCTAGTATGTGTTCTAGTATGTGTCTTAATTGCTGCTCAAACCAGTGAATCTCCCCCAGGATATTCCTGTCTCTCTGTCTGTTTGTTTGCTGTATGTACTCTTCAAACCCTCTAATTACCTTCCGGTCTGTTTCCCTTTCCTCCTACCTGCCTCTTTCTCTCTCCATCTGTCCGTCTTCCTGGAGACTCTCTTCCTGTCTGCCTTGATAGTTGCCTGGCTCCTTTCCTTGCCACCTGGCTGTTTGACTTAATGACTGCAGTCCTGTTACATCACAAGCCCAACCTACAATAACTACATTTAACCACATCATCTGTGTGTGCTTCTGTGCCATAATTGCGTATATTGTTTGCTCGTGTGTGTGCTGTATCATCGGTCTGTGTGTTTGTGTGCTTTTCCAGTTGGAGGCTAATAGTAGAGCCGGCAGGTTAACATCCTTTCAGCCAAACGCCCACACAGGCTCCGGCCGTAGACAAATGGATCGGAAACCAAACACTGATAAAAATCCAAGCTACTGCAGCGGGTTGTGTTACTAGTTTTAAATAAATCTCAGAACATGGGAGTTTCCTTTTTGTCTACACAAAAAAGCTTAAATTAACATTTAAATATCGGCAAAGATAGCAAATTAGATTTCGGTTGCTAGATACGTTTTTCTCCCATTCTATAAATAAACCACTGTATGCATTTAAGTCCTTTTAGAATGTTACCATGGTTATGTACAGTAGGTGTTTCATGGGCTGTGTTTTAATGGAAGAATATAACTGTACATATCATTCAGGAATTGTTCTATTCATTTCAACTTTGTAGACAGAGGTGGAAGAAGTACTCTGATCCTTTCCTAAGTAAAAGTAAACATCTTAAAGCCTTATAATACTTCATTACAAGTAAAAGCCCTGAATTTAAGAACAGCGACATTTCCTTCAAGTATCAAAATAGTATTCAGTATGCAGAACGGCTCATCTTTCAAATCCTGGTTAGATTAGTAGTACAAAACTGTGTCCTATCATATTATCCTATTATGTTTTTGAATATGTAAATAGTAGCTACTAACTATTAGTGTTGAATGAATGTAGTGTAGTAAAAAGTAGTATGACATTGAAATATAAAGTAGCATTAAAATGGAAATACTCAAGTAAAGTACAAGTATATCAAAATAGTACTTACGTAAGTACGAGACTCGAGTACATTTTTATATTTATAATCCATCACTGATAGTAGATCGGATGTTTTATTTTACAAGTTTGTAATTTCCTAAAATGTCCTTAAAGTTTGCTAGAAATAATTAGGTACAGTATAAATTGAGTTCGAATAAGTTGAATTTACAATTGATTACCAGTTACTTTTCAACTTCTTCATTGTATATAGAATTTTATATATATATATATATATATATATAAATAAAAGTATTTGATCTCTATGAGCATCTATGGGCACAAAGTCAGATCTGTTTTTTGAGCATTTTTGACTGTTCAAGCCTTCAAAACAACAAATACTTTACAAGAAATATTCAATGTTATTCTTATTAGCCTCAAAGCTCTGCTGTGGCGTTTTAAACTGCTTTGTTTTCATACTTTATAGTAAGAATAAATAAATGACAATAAATTGTTATGACCTGGCTCAGAAGGCCACAACAAAGGAGAGACACACCATATCAACAGTTTAACAAAATATGTTTATTAAAGCAAGTGATTCAAATGAGCCAAATTAATTAAGTGCAAAACAAGTAAAGCATGAGGTGTGGATGTCAGTGGTGTCAGTAATGTAAATACAGGGTAAGGATTGCATGGACATGTACGAGTGTGAGAGTGCACAAAGTGAAGCAACTGAAGAAACTCATAGCATACTCAACCAAAACCGGGTGCCTGTAGGAGAAAGCAGAGGGAAGACAGAGAGGAGCAGATGCTTTTAAATAGCTGCAGGGCACCAGACCCAGGTGCCCTGAGTTACTGCAATCAAGGCAATCAAGACCGCATAGCCACACCCTATCTAGATGAACCCACAGGGGCATCACACTGTACAATAGATGAGACTTCTTTCATTGCCTTGCAATTATAGACTCATGCTGGACTACCTTGCAAGACTTCCTCTCTCTCCTTGTCTCAGCCTTGTACAGTATGCTGCACATCTTGCTGTTTCAGGATGAACCTAATTGTACATTAAACCATTAGACAGATGCTGCAGAGAACGCTAACATTCTCCCTTCTCTCTATCTCTCACAAACACAAAGCCTCTCACACACACTGGACCCAGACGATACACACGGCTAATGCTTCCTGTTTGCCTTTAATCAGAGCTCAGGTTTCAGGGAGACAGGATGCATTAGTGGTGAGAGGGGAGAGAAGGCCTGCATAAGATGGAAACAACCAGAATCTCTTTTTTAGTATATTTTTTAAAGAAAGATTATAAAGTTAGAGTGATATGGCGGAGAATCAGAGAGTTGTTGACTCAGGCCTGCGTTGTGACAGTTTATTTCTGTCCATGTGATTTTCTCTTGATGCTCAAAACAGAACTAACTAGCTCTCCAAATATAGCATTTAGAGAGCAACGACTTCAATCAAGGCCAATGACATGCACTTTGGATTGTCCTATTTATCCAGTTCGAAGTCGTTTCAACATCAGTGTGTTCATCATTTGTAAAACATAATAGACACTTAAAGCAAGATTTTTTTGTATTCTAATTGTTCATTTTGGTGTGGTTGTGGTTGCGACAAGTTCAAAAATAAAGTTATACTCTATAGGTTATTTTGTATTCTTTGTTACACCAAGCTCTTCCATGATTACATTTGCAGAAAATTGGGTTTGCGGACTCCCTTAACCCAAGCTTAGCTCAGGCCACAAACACAGATACTGCAGATATATCATCAATCGCCAATAGGTTGGTTAAAGTTGGCAGGTTGGACAGGGAAATTCAACATATAGTCCAAGCCTAGTGTGCTAGTCTCTTTCGACTCCACTTCGAGCGATATAATTACTAACAAAGAATTTCTAACAAAGCACTTATATACTAATAAAGGACTGGCTTATCTAAAGCCTGCTGAGTAGCACTTATATGATTCTGTTTTCTTCAAGTTTGTATCTTCTTGGTGGAATGCACTTATTGTAAGTCGCTTTGGATAAAAGCGTCAGCTAAATGCAATGTAATGCTAGAATTAGGGCTGTGCAATTAATCGTATTTTAATCGCAATTACGATTTTGGCCTGCCACAATTACGAAAACAACATAATCGAAAAAAACAATTATTTTGCTTTGCTAGGTTGTGACAGTGCACTGCAACATATTTGATCTAATTTATTTTGGTCTCATTTATTTTTATTTATCATATTTATATATGTTTAGTAGCTTGTGGAAGTGCGCTCCAAAATATTTGTTGATCTTGTTTATTGGTATTTATTATTTTGATATTATTTATTTATTTTTGTATTGGTTTTTCAGTTGAATTATACGTTCAGGGTAATCAACAGTTAAAAAGATACTGTTCAAATTATTATTTGTATTTGTTTTAAAGTTCAATAAATGGATTTTTTCAAAGTCAATGAATAATCGTATTTAATAATCGTGATATCAATTATTGACCCAAATAATCGTGATTATGATTTTTGCCATAATCGCACAGCCCTAGCTAGAATGTTCCCTTCCCACATCCACATTCATTTCTGAATGAGATATAAACAATGTGTACTTCTATTAATGCTGGCATACCATTTTTTGCATTTTTATCTGTAACCACGTATTTCTTGTATTGCAGGAACGCAGGCCAGGAGCACTTCCTGTGTTCATTCGGCAACGGACCAAGAAACTGCATTGGAACTAAACTTACAGATGTCTTCCTTAAGGTGATTTTATTTCTTTGCTCAAAACCCTGTCACAAACACACACACAAACACACACTGTCTACTGGACTGCGGAAAAGGCTTTCCAATGTGGGGGCAACCCACCTCCAGGTCTGAAAGTGAAGCCAAAAGAGGAGAAATCAGCACTTTATGGTCACCATTAGTTCCAAGTCTTCTCCTTAAATACTTAACCGCAACATTGAAGAAAAATAGGAATGTATAACCAAAGCAGAAGTGACAATTAGGAAGTTCTTTGGGAGAACCCTTATGTGTCAATTATAGAAGCAACAACACTACTGAGACTCTAGAGGACTGACACAATACGGCAAAGAAGGAAGAAAGATATATATAGGAATAGAGAGGTGAACCGTGAGCACTGCTCATGGGAACGATGAGATGCTTGGCTGTGTGTGTGTTTATAAGTCATTACAGAACGAGAGTCAGAGAGCCCAGGTACATATTGTCCTGTTGAAAAACACCTGCCAGTCCCCACAGCGCTCTCCATAGCCACCATTGCCTTTACACTCAGGGGACACACATACGCACATGTGACAACAGGAAAGGACAGAGATGTATTTCCCATGTGGGGACGTTCCCACTGGAAACAGCTGTGAATGTGCTGTGGATTGAAGGGTGACACCAACCTGAAAACAAACAGAGACAGATTCCCAAGGTTTTAATTGGATACATACTGAATTGTATGAAACGAGTACTAAACCTATACTACCAAACGTTCGCAACACTGACAGCCCGTGCTTTTAAGGGTTGTTCTCTTGCGAAAGATGCCAGATTTCCTTTTTCTTTTTGTTAAAGCAGAACAATTGCATTTATCGATTGCTGTCAGGATGTAAAGAGAATTCCAACAAATTGCATATATTATGACAAAAATGTATCTTAAACACATTACCCACCCTAGCTGTAAAGTATGTTATTTAACAGATTCCAAAAACAGAAACGTTATGTTGTCTTCTCAGATTATTGATGAGCAACACACTATGGGGGTGTTACTGCAAGCCGTTGTTAATGCAAATTGAGCGATGACTCAATCATACACACACACACACACACACACACACACCATACACACACCCATATGAGTCATTGTAAATGTTTGGCCTGATTGAATGGTGCTCCGGTGAAATGTCAAAGCGGTTTAATGATCTGCTCTCTCCTCATTCAGCTCTCCTATTTGCTCAGCAGGACAATCTCATTATTTTAAACTGGATTACGTATTATAGATAACCTAGCTCCTTGTCTTTTATTCCTCAAATGAGTGGGATGAACGGAATAAGGTATGCCACACATAGCTCTCATACTGATGCTCTCCAAATGGACAGTGGAAAATCCGTCTTAATTTTTTTAATTTCTTAAAATTCTTAACATATTCAAGTTCAAAAGTCAAAATGCTTTGAAAGAAATGACCAAAATTCACAACATGTTTTTATCCAAAGGAAAGTTCTGCTTCAATATGTATTTGTAGGTGTTAAGCCTTTCCAAACAATCACTTTCACTGCAGTTTCTAAACAGTTTGCTCGCCTACCAGCTGTACACAAAGGGAGTTACGCATCTGTAATAACAAGCAGTCTAAATAACCCCTGTGCAACCACAATAACAACAATTTTATATATCGTTTTTATAGGGTCATGACATTATAAAAAAAGACGACAGATATTTACAGCTTCATTTGAAAACCCTAGTAGATGCTACAAAGGAAAATAAAAAAACATTTGTTATAATACATTTACATCTTATTTTAAATATTTATATTTTTCTAAATTCATTTTATTAGATATATTTATAAATTCCTTCTTACTTAATGTCATCAGATATTGACCAGTTTCTTTCATATATTCATAAATATTTGATTGCACAGGCTGGTCAACCGTTGACCAATCAGTCTGAATTAATCCAGAAACATGATCCATGGCAACGGGGTCAAACCGGCTACCTCTGAAAGAGAGCCTCTAGTAAACGTTGCTTTTGGCAATATTACCAGCATAAGCAACACTGCTATGTGATAAATGTAGATAAACACACACACACTCTCCATCACCTTGTTTTTGCACTAATAATGTTCACATGAACCTGCTCTGTTAGTTCTAACAAACCCCTTATGTGTAGAGTGTGTCTGATTGGCTGTCAGCAGACTGACCACTTGCACATGCCAACACACACACACACCCACACCCACACACAGTTGGGCGTGATCAGAGTAAAAAAAAAAAGTAGACCACAGGGATCTAGGTCAGAGAAGTGACTCATCGCCTCCTTCCTCCATCCTTCCTCCCACCCCCATCATCACCATCCTTCCCCAAATCCCTCGCTTCTTTCCTCCCCTCCTCCATCCTCCTGTTCATTCATCCTGCTCCTCCCCCTCTATCAGGAACATCCTCATTCTAAAAGTGGAGGGAGGCGGGACAAACTGGGTTATACTGGTGAATGGGATTGCTCTGTGACAGGAATGTTAGCTTTAGTATCATGAGACCTGGAAGCTATTGAGTGAGAATTAAAAATAAGCAGCGTTTGTAGTTGTTCAACTTTATCACAAATTACATGAGAATTTGATATTAATTGTTGATTTTGTTTCGGGGGGGTGGGGGGGGGAATGTAATTATACAGTCTTATTTATTATTTTTCACACTTGAAGTCAACAAAATAAGCATTGTTATAATAAAAAAACGATTAAAATACATTACTTAAAATAAATAAGACCATGAAAAAGAATCAAATTCTATAAATAAAGAATGATGTAAAGGGTTACTTGTCCTTCCTGTTTAAAGTCAGTTAAGTGTTACCCAGACATCTCCTCTTTCCTCAGCCTCATATAATGCTTCATACTTACCTTAATTTGTCCTCAAATCTAACCAAAAGCCTCCCTTTTATCTATCAGGATATAATTAATACTATTCTATAAGAGGCATGAATACGTCTCCCGGAGCCACCGGCCAAAGCTTTGCCATAAATGCTGAAATGATCACAGACAAGATATGAGTCAAAGTGCTGGGGACCAAATGTTCAGTTTCAGCTTGGCGTCTAAAAAGTGTTGCGTTGCACTCCTACTTTCAAATCTGCAAAATACCATACAACAAACAGAGTGTTATGGAGGCTGCAGCTTCACAAGTTGGAGACGTATTTAGCGTTGGCGGAGTCTCTCGCTTTGCCTTCTGGTTTAACATTTGTTTTTTTCAACTGCTATAACTCGTCACTTCCATCACTGTTGCATTTTAACTCTTGATATCACCCAGTTACATTTAGGTTAGTGCAGCGATAATAAGAAAGCTTGCTCTTTTCTTGTTTTGCTGCCCAGGAAGCGTGCATGTACCTGTTGAATCACTACGACTGGTGTTTGGACCCGCCATCTCAGGACCTCGAGTACAAATGGCTGCCTGTGTCTCGCCCCGCCAACACCCCCACCGTCTCCTTCACCCAACTGGATCAGACGCCATCTGACAGGAGCAACGACACCAGCTAGGGATGCACAGTATGTTAAGAGGTACTGATAAAGAAACAGAACATATGAGCACATAAAAGAAAAGAGCTCGAGGCCTGAATGCCTGTCTAGAATGTGAAAATGAAGCTGGAAAAAAATGTGAACGCACACAGAGGGATTCCAGAAAACTACAAGGCTTTCCCCTGCTGCCTATTATACAGTAATTGTCCCGGGGAAAGCCGAGGAGTGTTCCGGTTTCACTCTGTGTTCTCCTGCCAGATATTTGCAGCTTGATGAATCTGCAACGAAGACAACATAAATTACCCATAATCCTCATTCCATTGTTGAATCTGACACTGCTAGACAGCATTTTTTGGTCTGTATATAAATTAGTAATTTATTATAATTAAAAGATCAACATTATTAAATGTTGTATATTAGACTTTTAGTTTTACTGCGATTCACCTTCCTTTTTAACGTGGTGAAGAGATTGAAATAACCTCCAAATTGCTTTTTTATGGTAGAAATCATATTTTCCCCCCAGTATCAATATTTAAACCAAAAAAAGTTAATGGAAACACACACACACACACACACACACACACACACACACACACACACACACACACACACACACACACACACACACACACACACACACACACACACACACACACAGAGGTAAGCCCTCTGACTTCATACCTAACTGCAAACCTGTCTCCCCTCCCCCTTCCACCACCTAGCAACCAACACTGCCTAGCAACAGTTCGTCATACTGACACTGACTTTAGTATGCAAATCTCACACACACACACACACACACACACACACACACACACACACACACACACACACACACACACACACACACACACACTGACCTGGTTATTTTTGATAGCAGTTGTCAGTGATACACTCACCATCTGAATCACATGTAAATATGAGAGTGTTTGAGAGCGCACGCCTACATTTAAAATAACCTTAGTAACCCTCGATGATTTTTATTAGAACATGAATCATAAACTAATCGCAGTTTCTGCTACAGTGAACATTCGTTATATTATTTAACTTATTGTGTTTGTTTGCATACTTATTTAATTGCTTTTAATATGATTGTTTATGTTGTGTTATGGTTTAATGTACAGTATGAGCCAGTGTAACATTATATTAGTTAGTGTGACATCTCAACTATTATTCTACAAAAAATAAATGTAAAGTAATTCACTTCTTCTGTTTCTGAATTCTGTCACATTTTATGAAATATTCTATAATTTTGATACTAGTGGTTCCCACGTTGGGAGTTGGGGCTTCCGAAAATAAATCTCAGTGGTCATTGGATTATTCAGGGTTTGGAAAAAATGAACCTTCATTTGTAATTTAGCCCTATGAAAGTCCTTCAGAATTAAAGAAACATAAAAAAAAATGCTTACAACTATTCCATAACCTTGAAGAGGGGTCACAAGTAAATTCACTTTAAGAGGTTACAAACCTTATAATTGTTGACAGTTAACATCTATAACATAAACATACTTTCACACATTGTATCTTAAAAACAAGATTCAAATTAATTCTACAATAAACAAATTAGTATTTTTCTATTAAACCTTGTTAAAGTAGAGTAAGATTATATTAAATTGCATAAAAATAGACAAGACATACAGAAATTAACATGTGCAAAAATACTGCTGTATTGGCTCTAACAAATCCAAGCAGCAAATATATATTAAATCTGAACTGGAGCGTGTGTAACTTGCATGAAATGTGCGCTATGCTGTTTATGCTGCCTGCACTCTCTGTAATCGACTATAGGCAAGTGTCTTAGAAAGATGCTTTTGTCCTGCAGAGAGCTGCTCAACAAACCTACTGTGTTCTTGTTGCTGTTTTCTCTCTCACACACACTACAATACTCCCTCCTATACACCATGAATTATGCTGCAGACGTGCATACTTCTCACTTGTCTCACCCCGCCGCTGTGTCTGTTTCTCCCTCACTCCCTCACATCACACGAGATCGGGATGAAAATGGGGTTCTAGTGAACAGGGTGGTATGACTCACTGCTCCCCCTGCACCAGTCTGATAGCTGCCATTCCTATTTACCACAATGTACGCCAGGCAAGAGCGACTTACTGTCATAAGTGATGTCATGACAGATGTCAATACAGATGTTTGATAAGAGGTTGATTCAATTTGGATATGTTGGCTGTCCTCGATATTCAACCTGACTCCTTTAGGTCTACGATGAATGGAATTTCATGGCTAAACAGACCTCCTCGTGGTCCACCCCCTCACATTCTAAAATATAATAAAAAATCAGATGACCACGCACACACAGACAATGGCCTAGTGAATTTGCTCTGTAGAATGTAATTCATATGTGAACAAGGTTCCTTTATTGTGACTTTGTTGCGCAACACAATGCGAGTTGGACTCTTCTTTTTTTCATTAATTTACTTATTTTATTGTATTTTATAATATTATGAGAAAACATTGATGTCTTAAGGTTATGCCCTTGATTCTTTTCTTTTGTATTTTAACAAGTTGAATTCACTGCGACATTCTGCGACTAATTCCAAGCTGAGGTTGCAGAATACACAAATGCCCTTTTTCAAATTTATGTACAGGCATTTGGGACTAAAAGCATAAAGAAGCCTTTAGGATGCAAAGAGTATTGTGGTGAGTCAGAGCTTTACAATTCATATTGAACCCCAGGGAGTATGGTTAGCTGTGTCAACATAAGAGACACTGAACAGTGGTATGAATATTAAAAGTTAATCAAAGTAAAAAAAAAAGAAATGACAGCAAAAAGCTCTTCTTCACGTGAATGCAAACCCCAGTTGTAGCTGCTACACAAGGCTCTGCACACACACTTTTCCTAAAATGATCCTATATTAAATAAAGAGCACAGATATCTAAGTAGAGAGGAACCTTTGAAGATAACAATATACCACAGGTGGGGTCATTTCCCATCCAGGAAATCATGTCCTTCACTCACTCACAGACACACACATGTCTAACAGGAGGTAGGACAGTGTATCCAGATGGCAGAACAAAGCCTGAGGTCACTTTTAATGAGCAGAGCTAATTACCACATGACTGTCCTATCTGTCTACTCCCAGTGGACTGTTAGCCTTTAATATGGTGAACAACAGGAAGTAAAGGCAGGAAAACCCCACGCCCACCCCTGCCACACACACACACAAAAGTAGTCACTGTAAACAACGTGTGTTACATTAACCCAGCACATTTCTTAAAATCGTCTTGGGTTTACAGAGCCATAAAAACATCATAAGTTAGCTTACATGCTAACCTTTGCTTTGCTTAAAGTGGACCTATCATGCTATATTTGAATAATATAGTGTAGGACCATACCTATATAAGGCATATTTATACTTTTTTTTTTTTCAAAATACCAAACAGATCATGCATTTTAGCCATGCCTCATTTTGCTCAATTTGACATTTTTTAGCTCTGTTTTTGCAAGGGCAGATTATGTGAGAACAGCACCATCTACTGGCCTGGCATATGTACTACAGTGTCTCCAGCGCTTTCGAACGGCAATGGCCGTGGCTGTCTCCTCCTGATTGGTGGAGTTGGCCCAATAGCCGTAGCGCCACTGTCCTGACGTCAGGACAGTGTTCAAATCTGGATCAGTTTTTATCAAATCCGTTGCAGCCCCTTTTTTAGAGATTTGGGTATGGAGGAAAATAGAGAGGGTTGTGTTTTCTGACACTTGGTGAGTTCCCTGGAACACCGGGGACACATATTCATGTATAAAAGACGTACAAAAGTGCATTTTGCATTATAGGTCCCCTTTAATCAAACTTTTATTCAGTGTGCCAGCACGTAAGTATTACCCATGGATGTATAAAGAAGCGATAGGTTAGTCAGACTTTCTAACATTAGCTGCTAACATGCTAACAGCTAATGCTGGAAACACTATAGGGAGAAGTTTAAAGGTGTGTGTTGCCTTTTTTCTTGCGAAATTCTCATGTAAAACAAACAAAAAAACACCATACAGATGTTCAGTACATTAATTAAATAAAGGATAAGGATATAATAAATAATCATTGTTTTTTTCAAACTGTGCAGCTGTTCTTTTGGTTTCATCTTGTAATCTCACTTGCATTTATTTAAAAAAATAATTCTGGCACATGTATTCCTGAAACAAACCTCCAGCCTACATACAGTAGTGAGACAATCACATAAACACACAAGCACTTGTCCTTCAATGCAACAGTAAACACACTGCTTGCTGCTTACTACTGTGTTTGTCTGCGCTCAGACAAGCAGGAAGGGAAAGCCATTAGTCACCGAGGTGCCATCGAGCACCGTTTAATTGTCTCATTTATCTTCCCTGTGCTGCTGAACTACGATTCACCAGGGAACCCTCGGGAGAGCAGAGCACTACGCCACATATAAGTGTGTAATCATTCGTTGCAGCAAGTGGTCCTATATCTTCTGATGCGAGTGTCTCTGATAGAAGTAGAGAGGTAGTGAGGTAGTTCCCTGTTATACTGTACCATTATAGTTTAAGGTCGCCCATAAAATATTAATAAACTTCCTGTCACTTGTTGGGGAAGTTGATAGATGTGCCGACAGGGCTAACAATCTAAATTCATGTTCTCATTGGACAACACATCCCATTGGGAACGCCCTTAGTAAAATAACATCTTAATACGCTTGAAGTCCATGATGTTTCAATCATTTTGTGAGAAATGAAAAGGCAACACAGAGGTTGAATGAGTGGTTGGGTGTAGGCTAAAGTTGAAAAAAGCGAAAACCTCTTTAAACTCCCACTCTCATCTCTAATTGAAATACTGTCACTGTCTTTTAAACACTTTCAAGCCCTTGTCCTCCCCTAATGTCTCTCATATCTCCTCCACCTCCATTTCAACATCATGGAATAACACTTGACCTGTTTTTACCTGCTGGGGTAATGCTCCTGTCACCTGTAACGTCCGCTTGGGGGGAAGAAGAGGAGAGGAAGTGGGAGCTAAAGGGATGGAGGAATGGAGATGATGGAAGAGGTTCATGACATTTCACATTTGCCATCAACTTTTGCAGAGTACTTCAGAGTACAATTGCATTAAGTCCCACATTGTCCTGGTGTTGTAAACACTTACAACCTACCATACGTGTATCAATCCGCCTCTGAAAATAGCTCCCATCAAAGCGACTAAATCCTCTTATTTGAGTAATGCTAAAAACTAAAGTTCCCAGCTGTTTTAGGAAGCCTTTTTTTATTTTCAAAATAAAAGTGTATACTCATGACTTGTTTTAAAGATATAGGACTACAGTTTCATAAAAATAATCCTTGCACTCATAATGACTTCCTCTCCATGGATGGAATTGTTATACAATATTGTAAATCTCATTCAGGCACAATCCAGACGGCATTCTTACGCTCAATCTGTGCCGATTGCTTAATGTCACCGAGCTCTGTGAGAAGTATGTTTATCCTCAGCTGTTGGGAAAGCTGATTTCCCACAGCTCAGATAAAGAGACAACAATAGCAGGACTGTTTCTTCCACAGCTTTAGCAGTGCTCACACAGTTTGAATTAACAGGTTAAGATCACCTGTCTAATGGTCCTTTTCTTACTCCTGACCATGATTAACACATACGTAATTAACCTGTTCATTCAAGTAAGGATACAAGTACAAACAAATCAATTTGACTGTGAACCATTCATTATTAAAAGCGATAAAGCCTGTTTAGAGAGGATGTTGGGGTGGAATAGGGAGGGTCCAATAATACCAGGCAAATTGTATCTTGGGTAATAACCCAAGATACAATTTGTGTCCTGTGTGAACCAGAATGGGTTTTTTTTGTGACGAGACTTTCCTTTTTAAGTAATGTCACTACTGTAGCTATTTTAACCCAAACATTGATTTTTTTTGTCACATAACTCAGCCCTTTCTGTAGTTATATTAATCCAAGCCACTACATTTCCAAGTAGTTTTGTTGCCTTAACCTAACACATTTGTTTGCTAGAAGTTTATAAAAAAAATTAAATAAACTGTATGCATTTAATGAGCAGAAAATGACACAGATTCCAATTTTTTCTTGAGAATACAATATGCAAAATGTTGCAACATTTTGCAAAAAATAGGTAACTATCTGTTCTGTTTTGTTTTTTAAATAGGAGGTGGATCCTACATTTTGGCCATTTGTTAGGGCTTTAGCTTGTACATGTAGTCTTATTCATCAAGACACTTAATCCG